TGGTGACCGTTCCCACTGGGAATCAAGTCCCCACCCATGTGTGTACATGTGTATGTGTGTGTGTGTGTGTGTGTGTGTAGTAACCCTGCAGAAAAAAATTACCAATTGATAAAAAATAACCCACTTGTAGTTAGCTTTTTTGCGGGATTTCTATAAAATATATAACTTGTAACGGGTGATTTTTTTGAGGTTAGGATTTTCATGCATTAGTATTTGACAGATCACGTGGGATTTCAGACATGGTGTCAAAGAGAAAGATGNAATGCAGGAGTGATGAAGGAGATTGTTTTCTTTAAACGCGTTTCTGTGTATATATCATGCACTTCGCAAATACTTTTTCGAATTGAGTACAAATAAAAGGAAGATCGAAATTTCATATTATCATTTTGAAGTTATGTCTGACGGAGTTCGAATATGGGACCAACTACAGCAGAATATGGAAACAAATATGAAATGTAATAAAATAAAGTAAAAAAAAAAAAAAAAAAAAATATGTTGTTTTTCCTATTGATATTTTCTGTCTAAATGTAGTTAGTTACAAGTTAGTTACATCAAATGCAGAGGTAACCACCCTTGGCTACATCTAATGCAGAGGTAAACCCCCCTTAACTATTTCGCGGCCATCGCCATAGAAATATAGTTAGCTTTCGTCAAAGAAAATATACAGATAATAAGTGACTTTTACCTCCTTCCTAATCAACTTAATGTTAGCTTATAGTTAGATACATTTACTGCAGGGAATTTAGTGACTATCTACATACATAACGTTAATATAGGGGATTATCTTAATCAACAATATATTTCTATGCTTCCGTTTTCAACACCATCAGCATCATGGTTTGTAGTAGCTCTGTAAAACATAAATCAATTCATAAACTACAATAACATGAATTCTGCGTGAATTTGATAAGATTTAAATATATTACCTCATGAAAATTCCTTGAATTTCTTCTGGAACATTTATAGTTTCTTTTCGGAATTTCAAACGATTTTCTAGGTATAACAGTGATATTTTAGGATCCGACAAGTAAATAGCTCGATTAAATACATCTAAAATTCTATGCTATAAAACAACATAACATATAATTTTTATATTAAATATTTTGCCAACAATATACAAATGTCCTTTTCGTTCTTAGTTATTGTTTATACAAAATATNACTAATATTTTGCCAACAATATACAAATGTCCTTTTCGTACTTAGTTATTGTTTATACAAAATATTATTTAAATAAAAATATTTATTATANGCCAACAATATACAAATGTCCTTTTCGTTCTTAGTTATTGTTTATACAAAATATTATTTAAATAAAAATATTTATTATACAAATAAATAATTACTTGTACTTTTAGTTTTACCTGCCAATAATTTAATAGGAGGTTGATTCAGTTAGTTAGTTATGCTTTACAAAATTCTGATAAAATACTTTAACACTATTTTTAATTCTGAAGTAAATTCTTTGTTTCTTAAATTTTTTGAAGTTAGCTCACTTAACATGATTGTTTTCAGTTAAGTATCAGTAGTCAGTAGACAGCATAGAATTTTAGATGTATTTGATCGAGCTATTTACTTGTCGGATCCTAAAATATCACCGTTATACCTAGAAAATCGTTTGAAATTCTGTAAAGAAAGTATAAATGTTCCAGTAGAAATTGAAGGAATTTTTCATGAGGTAATATATTTAAATCTTATGAAATTCACGCAGAATTCATATTATTGTAGTTCATGAATTGATTTATGTTTTAAATAGCTACTACAAACCATGATGCTGATGGTGTTGAAAACGGAAGCATAGAAATATATTGTTGATTAAGATAATCCCCTATATTAACATTATGTATGTAGATAGTCACTAAATTACTACACACACACATACACACATACACAAACATACTTACCTAATTCGCCGCAACCAACGCCCAAACGCAGCCGNTACACACATACACACTTACACACAAACATACTTACCTAATTCGCCGCAACCAACGCCCAAACGCAGCCGTGTTACAACTACATCTCCAAAAGAACTAATTGGTCGGAAGCTACAACAACAACCGCTGCAGATTAACAACGAGGGAATAACAAAAACCCAAGGTAGGGCACCGCCTACAGATCAAAGCGCGGCAACAGGCCCAGCATCCAGCCAATCGGAGGAGCAGTGGACTGAAGTAAAGATGCGTAAAGCTAAAGCTAAGACTAAGCCAACCAAGCCGGATGAGAGCATAGTAAAGAAGGCTGGTGAACAATCGTATGCCGACATATTAAAGAAAATAAAGCCGCAACCTGAACTGAAAGAACTTAGTGCTAATGTCAAGAACATCCGAAAGATGGCCAAAAATGAGTTGCTGTTTGAGCTGAAAAAACAAGACGACCCTGCTACCTAGAAATTTAAAACTGCGGTTGAGCATATACTTGGGGAAACTGTAAGAGCGCAGAGGACCGATCCGCGCTATGTTTTAGATGTGGAGGAAAGGATCACAAGGCTAGAGACTGTAAAAATTCACCATCTTGATTCCCCTGTGCCAAAGCTGGTGAAAGTAGTACAAGACACGCGACCGGTAGTCGTATGTGCGCCGTCTTCCAAAGAGCAAGAGGAAAACAACAGCACCAATGAAATTTCTGCAGTTGAACCTTAATCACTGTCAAGCAGCGCAAGATCTGCTCAACCAAACCGTATACGAACTTGGTATCGATATTGCGATCCTTAGCGAACAATATAAGAATAAAAGCGAAGCATCTTGGGCTAGCAACACAACCAGTAGGTGCGCGATATGGAGCTGCGGAGCTCCCCCTAAGCACCTTGTCCCAATCGCATCCACAAACGGCTATGAATGCGTTAAAATATACAGCATTTATGTTTATAGCTGCTACATACCACCCAGTGCGGACTTAGAAAGTTTCACCACCATCGTTGATCAATTAGTCAACGACGCTAAGATGAGGAGTGCAGTGCTTATAGCAGGCGATTTTAACGCATGGGCGGTAGAATGGGGAAGCCGAAGGACTAATTCGAAAGGAAGAGAGCTTCTCAACTCACTGGCAGCCCTAAATGTCATACTTCTGAATAGCGGAAATGGAGATACTTTCTCCAGGAACGGAACAGGATCAGTCATCGACCTGTCCTTTATAAGTGGAGGACTAAGCAGAACTACAAACTGGTACATAAGCAATGCTTACACGCAAAGCGATCACAAGGCCATAATCATAAGCATTGAAAACCAGAGCCGCAACAACACCGCTGCAAGTCACTGCCACGGGTGGAAAACAAAAAGCTTCGACGAGCTGTTCGAAATAGTCTTCGGTGAAGTAAAAATAACCTCCACCGTCCAGAAATCGCCGAAAGAACTGATGAAAGCACTCAAAAGCGCATGCGATATTTCGATGGCGAGAAGGAAACGACACAATACACGCAAACACGCTTATTGGTGGAATGGTGAAATTGACGATCTGCGAGTATAATGCAACCGGGGCAGAAGAGTGTGTCAGCGTGTTCGCGCACGCAACGAAGCAAATGCCGTTGAGCCTAGGCTGGTCTATAAAGAAAAGCGAAAGCTCTTAAAAAACGCAATACGCGACAGCAAGCGCAATTTTCAGCAAGAAAATTCAGAAGATATTAGCAATAACCCGTGGGGACCCGCCTACAGGATAGTCATGAAAAAGCTAAAACGCACAACACAACCAACATGCCCTGTTATGCTGGCTCAAATCGTACAGGTCCTCTTTCCCGCTCATCCCGATTTCGTAAGGCCAACGCCCCGTGCTTTCACTGCTATCCCTTGCATAACCATTGAGGAGATCCTGAGAACTGGCAGAAACATACCTCTCAACAAAGCTCCAGGGCCCGATGGTATCCCGAATATAGCCCTAAAAAAAGCCATTGAGACAAAGCCGTTTGCCAGCGCTTTCAATACGTTCCTTCAAGAGGGCATATTCCCGAACATCTGGAAACAGCAGCAACTGGTCCTTATACCGAAAAAATCAAATCCATCGGCACCTTCTGATTACAGGCCACTGTGTATGCTCGACTCCACGGGGAAGCTATTCGAGCAGATAATTAAAAACCGCTTAGAAACTCATGTAGATAGATATCTATCAGAGAACCAGTTTGGCTTTAGAAAAAAGCGCTCTACGACTGATGCGATCGAACTGGCAAAGTCCATAGCGGAAAAAGCGATTGAAGGCAAACGTTGGCTAGGAGGTACAAAAGAATACTGCCTGATTGTTACGCTAGACGTAAAAAATGCATTTAATAGCGCTTCTTGGAAGGAAATTCTTCACGCATTACGAGCCCTAGAGGTCCCATTATACCTGCAAGCCATTCTGGGGAGCTACCTCAGTAACCGTACCTTCAGATACAGTAGTGACAATGGGCCTAAGGATTATGCACCCACGGCCGTAGTACCACAGGGATCGGTGCTTGGACCTTTACTGTGGAACATCATGTATGATGGAAACCTACGCCTATCCACCCCAGATGGCGCCACCTTGGTTGGATTTGCAGACGATGTCTCAATCGTGGTCACCGGGAAAACAATAGCAGAAGTAGTGGCCATTGCGGAGAAGTCAATCAGTGCGGCTCAAGAATGGCTATGTGCGAGATTCCTCACACTTGCAACGCACAAAACAGAAGCAGTTCTTATAAGCAGCCGCAAAACAGTGGAAAGTGTAACACTAACTGTTGGAGGGAGTGTAATCTCATCAAAGAACTACCTAAAATACCTTGGGTATTGATAGACCGTCGTTTATGCTTCCGAGATCATCTAAACTACGTCAACGAGAAGGCGGCGAGGGTGACGTCATCTTTGTCCAGACTGATGGCAAACATTGGGGGACCTAAGCAGCAGTCTAGACTAGTACTAACAGGGGTAGTTAGATCCAAACTCATGTACGGATGTACAATCTGGTACGATGCATTTAAACGCTCATCGTACTTTCAGGGTATGAACGCAACTTATCGCTTATGCGCATTAAGAGTATGCTCTGCATACAGAACAGTTTCGGAAGACGCAGCACTTGTCATCTCCGGGATGCTCCCACTTGACCTATTGGCGCAGGAAGCAGTTGAAAAAATAAAGGATAAGCATGAGGAACACGAAACTCGCGCCTCTTTATTTCGACAAAACAGCATATCGCAATGGCAAGCGAGGTGGGGTTGCGCAACAACAGGCAGGTGGACACGTCGTCTCATCCCTAATATCGATGTATGGATCCACAGACAGCACGGTGAGGTAGATTTCTACCTAACACAAATCCTTAGCGGGCATGGATGTTTTAAGGCCTGCCTTCACCGCTTTGGACATGAAAGCAATCCACATTACGACTACTGTGGTCCTGATGAAATAGAGGATGTGGAACACGTACTCTTTTCGTGTCCTCGATTCAGCACCCAGAGAGAAAAGCTCAATGAACGTCTCGGCAGCGTAGTTACACCCGAAACACTAGTCCCACTGGCATTGCAAAGGCAATGCGCTTGGATGGAATTTAAAGCCACTTGTGCCCTAGTTATGCAGCAACTTCGCAACAGCGAGCAAGTGAGGCGTAGGCAAGAACGACAGGCGAGGTAAGAAGCAGCCACATCATTTTATCTGGCTCAGGCCAGTTAAAAAGCTCGTTTTCCTAGAAAAGTTACGGCACGAAGATGGCGAACCTCTCAAAGAATTGTATAAGCAGCAATAAACCGCTGCACCCGGGCATTACTAGACTTAGAAACGAACTTCTTAGTTGTAAAATACCAAGCGGGGGGTAGGTTTAATACCAACCCAAGACAAAGTGTGGGTGGAATCATGTGAACAGTAACGGACGTAGATCTTCGTGCTCAAACCGCCTCACGATGAAATACTTAACGGTGGTGCCGGGGGGATCGGTACATAGACGGTAGGAGGTTTAGTGGGTTAAAGTCTCACACTGACGGTTTTTTGGGGTTAGGCTTTCGATGCTTCCTCCTCTGAAAAAAAAAAACACAAACATACACACCCGGAGGGTACCTTGATTCCTTTTGGGAACGGTCACCATAGCTGGGCTCTAAGCTACCGGGGGGTCGGCAGGTCGCGGAAAGCCGGGCGGCCTGTAGTAGCAGGTTAGTTGCGAAATAAGTCTAAACGAATAAGTAACCCCCGACGATGAGCGACAGGAATGGAGGGCGCTGTTCAAAAGCTAGCAAGTCCGATGAAGTTCCTGTGACAGTGGCGAGTCGACACCGCCTCTTTGAAGTATGTGTGATGAGTAACAAAATCCAGGCGCGACGGATCCACAATGGGCGGCTTCCTGGTCAGCGTCTGTTCACCATGTCAGGTGCGGCTGATATTGTAACCTGACCGGTATGCGTCGCGGCTCACTGGGAGTCCCTTGAAATCTCGACAGCGACTTCTCCGCTGATGGGACGAAGAGGGTGATGTGAGCCTGCTCTGCCGAAGTGTCAGCCACTGTGTATATCAGTAACCAGCCCCTTCGGGCCCTGGTCAGGAAGTGTGCATTGGACGCAGGAGTAGTAGCCTGCGTTGCGCCGGGCTGCTGGTAAAGCGAAGGACAGGCTTCAGGAACTGGGGTAGGGCATCGTCCCCGAAGGTATACCCGTTCCTGTCTATTTCGGCCCGCACCCCTGCACACAATGCGCTGGAGAACATAAACTAATGGAAAAAAATATGAGAAACAACACAAAAAGCAACAATAGCAGCAGCAACATATACGGCATCATAATGAACAGCGCCACTGAAAGCTTGGATGACGGTAATGGCAAAGTGTCCGAGACAGAGCCGTCCATGAGAACACCGATTGCGGAAATGGACCCTTTCAAGCGCGCATCACGACAGGTTCGGCCGCCTACAAATGTGCTCAACATAAAGAAGCCAGTACGAGCGAGGTCGTCACCACCAGCGTTGCAGGATAGCAGACGATGCAATCAAGAGGCTGATGGATGTAATGCGCCCACTACAGGGCTCAATCAACAACAACATGAGGGACATTCTCAGCCAAATAGCAAAGTAACATGCAAATGCACATGAGGAGTACATCAGAATAAAAGAAGACAGACGGAACGTCCTCATTATGCCCACGACTGCGGAAACCACCCCAAAGAGGCCCCGCGACGAAAACCAGCCGAAGCGAAGAACGCCACAGAACAAAACCACACATGAAGAGGTGCCAAGGAAGTCAGAAACCATCTTGAGTAAGGAGACGAAAGATAGTCGCCCTACCAAGAACAAAGAAAAGGAGGAGGAAAGAGGAAAAGGCTGGACAGCGGTGAAACGTAAACCACGAAGCAGCAAGAAGACAACGTACAAGCCGCCCCAACGTCCCGATGCTATAGTTATAGCGCGAACTGGAGATATGTCCTACAGCGACATCTTAAGGGCGGTGAAAAATATGATGCTTTGCAAAAACTCGGCGAGAATGTATCGCGAATTAGGAAGACGGCCAAAGGCGAAGTCCTGGTGGAGCTGAAGGAAACGCAAATGAAAAGCATGGGAGAGTTTAAGAGCGGAATATTTAAAGTGCTAGGCGATCAGGCACAAATCAGAGCGCTTACCCACGAAGTAATGGTCGAAATTCGGGACCTTGACGAGATCACCACGAAAGAAGACATTACCGAGGCCATCCGCACCCAAATAAGGGATTTAAACCATTTCGGCGAACAGTCGATCAGAAGCATCAGGAAGTAAAGATAGGCTGGGTAGTGTGCAGGATAAGAGGGAAGCCGAATCCAAAAAAGTGCTTTAGGTGTTTTGAATACGGACATCTGGCGAGAGCGTGCAGCAACCCAGAAGATAGAAGGCAGTGCTGTCTCAAATGTGGAGAAAAGGGGCACTTCGCGAAAGCGTGCAAGAAAAAACCGACCTGTAACGCGTGCAAGAACAAGGGAAGGGAAAACTCGGCTCATCAAATAGGTAGCAGGAAATGTCCCCTTTACCAAGAAGCTTGCAAAAACTCCAAAAAGTGAGAGTCATGCAGCTAAATCTAAACCATTGCGAGGTAGCGCAGGAACTTCTCATGCAGACTGTGTACGAAGAGAAAGTGGATGTAGCAATAATAAGTGAGCAGTGCAAAAACATGGACGCCGCAACACGGCCATCTAATTGCACAAACAAAGCCGCCATATGGGCCTGTGGAGGCCAAGCTCTCCAAGAAAAGCCACTATTAGGAAAAGCCTACTACACGCGGGCGAAGATCTGTGGAAACAACTAGCTGCTACTTACCATCGAGCGTGCCACAAAGTGATTTTGAAAAAACCCTGGACGAATTGGTAAGAGAAGCCCTGACTACTACGATGAACGTGGTGGCAGGCGATTTCAATGCGTGGGCGATGGAATGGAGCAGCATCTGTACGAACAGATGGGGAGATGCTCTGCTCAAGGCGTTTTCGTTGCTGGACGTAGTGCTGTTAAATACGGGAAACAGGAACACTTTCGAAAAGAACGGTCGTGGCTCGGTGATTGACATCACGTTCGCTAGCAGTTCCTTAGTGCGGTCAACAAGCTGGGAGGTGTCAGATCTCTATACGCATAGTGACCATTTGGCCATTATGGTCGAAATCGGAAACAATGCGCAGAGTCGAAAATGTGCTGCCATCAGAAAGGCACAGACTCAAGGGTGGAAAGTCTAAACACTTGACGAAGAACTCTTCAGACTCATGATGGAGGGAAATCTTGCCAGCGCAGAAGATGCGGAACGACAGGCGGAAATTCTGCAGGAATTGTGCAGGAAGAAAAAACAAGGCGCTTACAGAAAGCCTGCATACTGGTAGAACGAAGAAATTGACATATTAAGAAGTGAGTGCCACAAAGCGAGGCGGCTTTGCCAAAGGAGACGGGGATCGGCGGAGCACACATGGCTGCGCGAGTGCTTTAAAAGGAAGCGAAGCGACCTCAAGAAGGCAATAAGAAGGAGTAAGTCGTGCTGCTTCAAAGAGCTCTGTGAAAAGGTAGACGAAAATCCGTGGGGTGATGCGTACAAAGTGGTGATGGGGAAAATTAAAGGTGATAAATGGCAAGCGCCAACCTGCCCCATCCTACTAAAAAGCGTTGTGGAAACTCTCTTCCCTGTGCAAACTCCAGAAGAACGACAGCTGCGAGTAGAACAACCTGCGATAGTGAACGCACTATTAGTCACTGACGAGGAAGTAATCCAAGCGGCGGAAAAGTTTGGCAATGCCAAAGCACCAGGTCTAGATGGTATTCCAAACAAAGTTCTAAAGGTTGCCATTAAGCACAATACCAGCCCGTGTACTGACTTATTTAAGTGGTGTTTGCGAGAAGGAGTCTTCCCAAAAATCTGGAAGAAGCAGCGGTTGGTTCTGTTGCAGAAACCGAATAAACCTGCCGGGCAACNGTACTGACTTATTTGAGTGGTGTTTGCGAGAAGGAGTCTTCCCAAAAATCTGGAAGAAGCAGCGGTTGGTTCTGTTGCAGAAACCGAATAAACCTGCCGGGCAACCAAGCTCGTACCGCCCGCTTTGCATGTTGGACACGCTTGGAAATATACTGGAGCGACTTATTTGTGTACGACCAGAGCAACACCTAGAGGAAGAATCCTCGGGTCTCGCCGACAACCAATATGG